CTCTTAAAGTCCTCATATGAGTGAAGTCGTATGATATTTGTCTTTCTCTGACTAATTTCACTTAGCATAATACCCTCCAGTTCCATCCACGAAGTTGCAAATGGCAAGATTTCATTCTTTTTGATTGCCGAGTAATACTCCATTGTATATATATACCCCATCTTCTTTATCCATTCATCCATCGATGGACATTTGGGCTCTTTCCATACTTTGGCTATTGTTGATAGCGCTGCTATAAACATTTGGGTGCACACATCCCTTTGAAACCACACACCTGTATCCCATGGATAAATACCTAGTAGTGCAATTGCTGGGTCTAGGGTAGTTCTATTTTTGGTTTTTTGAGGAACCTCCATACTGTTCTCCAGAGTGGCTGCACCAGCTTACATTCCCATATTTTTCTTTATCTTTAATACGAGTGTCACACAGCAATCTCAAAGAATTATTGTAAGGATTAGGTAAGATATTACCAACAAAATACATTTAATTAAATAAACTCTGAAAATAAATCAGTTCCTTGCTTCTTCTCCCTCAATCTCACATTTTTGCTCCATTTGGCTTATCACTTTCTTATTTTGTGATATGTTTTCTCAGTTGATATTTATCCATTTTTATCTGTTCAGCTTTTATAACTTGTAAACAAAGTGACTAATTTCTTCTTTGTGCACAGAGGAGCAGAAAAAGCCAATGCCAAGAGAGAAGAATAAAGCAGACCATAAGAGATCATGTGTGCACAGAGGGAAGGGAGAATAATTGCACTGATTCATAATAGCTTTCCAGTACCTGGTTCTAGTCCATAATGAGGTTCAGCCACACATCCTATTCATAGATCCATGAGATATACTTACAGCCATCCAATAAATTCTCTTTCTGCCTTGGCCTACTTTGGGTGTGTTTCTGTGTACTTATAACTATGGTAACATGTATATTTGTAATTTTTATCAAGACCCCCCTGCAATTCCTTATACCTCATATAGCCCTTCCCCATTTTGATAAACTATGTGCCATCATTTTATGAGACATAAACATGTTAGAGAAAAGAGATTGTTTCTTTGCTTTTTGAATTTTGAAAATTGAGACCTCTAAGGAGAATGGAGACAGCTCTGGCAAAGGCAGTACATTTGGCAGAATTACATGGTATAAACACATGGTTTCTCACCTATATAAATTAGAATTACATTTGGCTGCAAGTAGCAGAAAACTCTACTTGTCTTAAATAAGTAGGGATATATTAGTCTCATATGAAAAGTTTACAGATAGTCTCTTCAGGTCTGATGTAGTGACTCCACTATGTTATGATGACCCAAATTCATTCTTTTTGTTCCATCATCATGTTACCCTTATTTTGTCCCCTCACAGTCACAAGATGGTAGCTGCACTTCCAGGCATCAAGGATATGTTCCACACAGGAAAAGAGGGAAATGAAAAGATAAAAAGCTTTTTCTAGTGAGTCTTTGTTTTTTTGTTTTGTTTTTAATTTGGGAAGAGAAGTCACATATACACGAGACTGCGTAGAACATGACCACACGTAAAAGCAAGAGAAGCTGAGAAATGAGCGTTTACATATCTTTAACCTACAGAGTAGAGGGCAGTAATGGAGAAAATGATTGGAAATGGATATTGAATAAACCAACTCAATATCTGTCTTAGAAAGACTATATAAAAATTTCTGGGATTATGGGGAATCAAGATAGAAAAAAAGTGAGAACTTAAAACATTCACAAGTTCTTAAGCCCGATATTCGTGGTTGGATAACCCAAGAACATTCCCTCAACCCCCAATTCGTTTGCCACATTGAACTATAGAAGTTAGAAATCCAAATACTTTCCTAGTCTCACTTGCTAATTCTAGACATAGTTCTGGGCATGTATGGCATACTTCTGGACAATGTGATATAAGGGAAATTTTCTGCCTTCTGAGAAAGCTTTTGCTTTTCTGATAAGATAGATCATAATTGGGGGAGCCTGGGTGGCTCAGTCGGTTAAGCATCCAACTCTTGATTTTGACTCAGGTCATGATCTCATGGCTCCTGAGTTCGAGCCTCGTGTCAGGCTCTGTGCTGACAACAAGGAGCCTCCTTGGGATTTTCTGTCTCCCTCTCTCTCTGACACTCCGCTACTCGCATTCTCCCTATCAAAATAAATAAGTAAATATTGGAATTACTTTTTAAAAAATAGAACATAATTGGTGCTACTGCTTTTTCCCAACTTGACCATTGACATGACACCTGGAGTGTGGTAGTCATCTTGTATACATAAGAAGCATAATGGTGACAGATACAATGACAAAAGCCAACAGCTAAGGTAACTAAGTAGAAATATGTCAGAAGATGAATTCTTAGCTATATAGTTAAGCTGCTATGCCAGTCCTGACATGCATCTCTAGTCATCTTGTTGTGTGAGATAATTGCTTTAACTACTGTTGGTTAGGATTTTTGTTATTTGAAGTTAGAATAATCAGTGGCTATTATAGCTCCTAAGACAGAACCTGATATATATACTCTGACTACCTCTCTCCTGTTGAATCCCAGTAGGGAAGGGGAGCATAAGAACCTGAAATCAGTTTAAGGGATGTGAGAACAGTAGAATCAATGCCCCCATTACCAGTTAGAACTAGATCAGGCCCACAGAATAAGAACAGTTGAATGTTGTGTGAAGGCAGACAGTCTGAGAGAACTTCATAGGGTTTGCCTTCTACAAGCAGCCACAGGAGGTGCTGAGGGAAAGCTGATCTTTAAGAGATCTTAAGGTCAAGAATAAGGGAAGACTTGGTAACAATCTGCTTGGTTAAGTATGTGGTTTCTCAATTGATGCTGGTATAAATAGATAAAAATCTTGAGGATTAAATTCACATCACCATGTGGACATCTGGACACTACATAGGCACAATCCTGGTGTCTACCACTCAAAGAGAAATTTATAAATAAATATTGTTCAAAAAAAGAGGATTCTTTTGAATGTGTACTATAAATAGGGTAAGACTTCATATTATTTTCTAGAAAGCATGTATTTATATCTGCTAGATTTTACACACACACACCCCCGCCCAAATAAAAGATCCTCAGGTGACCATGGACTCACTGAACGTTCAGATTCCCACACAGAGGCAGTCAGCTTCATCCCCTGTCTGAAAGCCACACTATCAGCTGAGAACATGCTTCATTCCTTTGCTCAACTCACTAAGGAAGAAGAGGGTGTTATGGACAGTTTCCTGTCTCTGTTGATAATACCAACTAAAGCTTAGAAACTAGTGCCTTCTTTTAAGATTATTGTCCCCAGCTGAACCTTTTATCCTGC